CCGATGTACGCCCCTACCTTAATCGCTACGCCAGTAACATATACTTCTTGTCAGACTATTTTGCCGGTTTCTTGAAACTTATCAAACCGTTTTTTTCCTAATCCGGCATAACAAAGTTTATTATGTGTGAAAAACTGACGTTTGGGTAGGCTAGCCTATAAAAACCAGGCAAGTGATTTTATCATATATAGACAAACCTTCTTGAGTGTTCCGCTGATGATCAGAAAGTATGCCCTCAGACATACTGCCCAATTAGGAACTGTCAATCAACCGAACGTGTTGCTGCTGCCCCCCAAGAACTGCGTCTTGTTGAACGGTTCAAGCGAAATAGATGCCGCTAGATGATTTAAAAAGCTTCCATAAAGGGTAAGAGTGGACCCAAGGAAATTTGTTTTTCTTGTAGTTGTTGACTAAATGGAAAGTCTATTCATCTGGCAGACTCGTCGCCCACGCCTGTTTCCCAGCTGTTCGTAGGTGAGATGCGTCTATAAATAATATAAAAGCTATAGTTAATTGCACAAAAGCAAAAATCCAAAATGGATTCCATTGCAAAGATTGAAATAGTTTGCCCATCGGTGATCCCCAATCACACTTTCTTCCCCACTTTACAGCCGAGGTGAATTCGATCGCTTAAACTGTTTGCTTTGTCAACTTCCCGCAGTTTTTAAATTGGAGGTCAGGAAAAATTTAGAGCCATGCTGTCCAGACTTGGTCTGCTAGACGAATGAAGTCAGCTTAGACGAAACCATGCACGTGGGTGGATGTAACTGGTATTCAGTTCATGTACTGATTGATTCGGCAATGAATGCCTCGTTGTATTTTTTTTCTGATTGAAAGAACAATCAGCAAACTGATGATTTTACTTCCTGTGTACGGCTAAAGCCATTCTGTCTCAGATGCACACACAGCTCAAGCTTACTTTGTTTTCGTCCAGACGTTTTTTGTGGGTTTTTTTCGGCCTAAACAAAAATGTCTGAAAGCAGTTTTAGACTGGAATGTGCAAAAGCACCATGGTTCTGTTGACTGTACGTTCACCACAATTCGACCGGTATACAAAGCTCCCGGTTGAAATTGATGGCCTTTATGCTGGTTGCCGTTCCTTTTGACACAGTTCTGATGTTAGCAATGTTGTGGAATGTGGGTAGCTCGGGTGCGCTGCTTGGTTGTTGGTCTGTTTGTCCAGCTTGGCAAACGTTTCATCACCAATCGAGGTGACATCGTCAGTGCAAGGTTGAGTGGGGTCTGTTCTGATGTTGAATGTACGTTATGGAGACTGTCAAGCTTTTGTAAGGTCATCAGGAAAGATTGTGATTTCCGGCCAGCTAAACTGAGTTTTATTTACAAGTCATGTTTCTTAGGAATTAAAAACCCACTGAATTGCATCTCATTTCGGATGGGTGAAACACTAACACGTTAGATATTTTCTATCCCTGTTCTTTTGGAGATGTTTTTTTTTAAACTCAGTATTTTGTGACCTGTATGTGATTACTGAAGGCTGAAAATCCATGAAACTCTACGTCAGCTTAGCAGCATTTTCTTGGAAAGAATTCGGACGAACCCGATGTCACATGATTTTAGAATCAGGCGTTTAAAATCTTTCGATTCAGCTATGGATTCCAATACCTAAGGACACATTCGCTGTCAGGATAGTCAACATAAGAACGGATGTCCTTCGGCGCCCAGTTCATTGAGAACGTTCCATCTCGAACAAAACTCAGCAAACAGTGCTAACGATCCTAAGGGAAGAGGTTTTTAAGGCTTCTATAGCCAGATGGCTACACTGATAGTACGTAGTGGATGGATCATTCCTGTGACAAAAGTAACCAAACTGTTTTCTTCGTGCCATTTATGTAGAATTTTCACTAGCTTCCATCCGGTAGACACTGTGATAAGTGCTATCAAGGCTACCATACCTTCCGCAAATTCTCTCTGTCCTGCAACTAATGATTACCAAACTTTCAGCACATTTTTGGTACGTGTCAAAAAAACGCAAAGTTCATTGTGTGTGTCACACTCTATCAGGTATATATATATAATGTGCGTTTTATTGGTATTTAGCATAAGTTTCTATTCCAAGCCGTAATATCTCAAGGCGGGTTATGTTAAGGGTTGATAATTAGCGCCGTTTCGGTGCCTAACTGCCATGCCACCCGAAGGAAGCACGGGGGATGGGGTTCTGCCAGGTAGCCCAAGCCTAGGCAGGGAAGTCGAGAGGCAGAGGTCAGGTTTGAACCACGGACCTTCCGGTCAGTAAATTCGCGCTGTAACCACTTGAGCCATGTCGCCCCCATCAGCGTATACATGTATGCAGGTATCAAATACTCGCGTTTAAAAACTGTGAGAATTTGATGAACATAGTGAGGTTAAAGGCAAGAACTATTAACTAGGCATGATTTGGCACCGAATCATGTCCAATTGAGGATAAGATGGATTATTGGTGTCAATGTAGATTCCCATCTGTCCACCTCGATGACAGCGTCATTTATGACATGGTTTGACATGTTTGTATGCATGCTTAGACTATGAGGAGTCTACTTCGTTGCACTGTCTGTTGGAGTCGAGCGATGCCAATCCGCCTAAGGCGGACCATTTTCGCTAGATACAAGGCCTTGGTGACATAATGTGGATGTGCTCCCGAAACATCTAAATCCCATCAACAAGATTTTCAGCCACGAAAGAAAAAACGTATTTCAGTAAGAACACGAAACAATGTGATCCCTTACCGTAGGAATGCCTTCTGGCTAAACGGGTGGAAGTGGCTACTAAGTGTCTGATGATATAAATGTCTTCGACAGCCGACGAGAGTTTTCACCTTCCTTAAGGCTCGTCAGGCAGACTATTCCCTGATTTTAGCTCAATCTTGTGTTCTACTAGATTCAGCCACGTGTACCAGCTAAGTCAACTCTATGTTACTTTGGTTCAAGACGTCTTCAACTTGACGGGACAAGCTAAGGCTCCTCAAAAAAGAGTCACTGTCAAATGACTCATGGCGCTAACTTTTCAAAATGAAGATTTGTTAAAAGTAAATGGGAGCTAGGAAGTTTTGGAGCGTGTTCTTGTATCATCTTTTTTTCTGAAAAATTGAGAAAGATAAGGTTTTTAACATTTGAAGAAGTTGAAGAATGAACAGGACTTTTCTGTAAGTTATCCATGTTATTCGTATAATTCTCGCGTTAGAATCGGAAACGGATACGCAACTAATATAAAAGAGCAAGAGGCTGAAGATGATGTATAAGACCGTCAGAGCACACACGTACCAGAGGGATATATTGGAGATTAAGTCTCGTTACTTGTTTCCCGTCGGTATGGCACAGTCTTTAGTCAATCCGTGATTATTCTGGACGCTTACATCGCTGGTAAACAGATGCAATGACATATTTCACTCTATAGTGCCAAACGGGTTTGCACGAGCCAGAAAGGAAAGAAAGGGAAGATGGTTTTTGACCAGCAAACCATGTGATGGCTTTTCAAGGAGAGCGCGACTGCGAATAGCAGACGCGCTTGTGGATCATCAGTCAGTAGATGTTGTTCCCTCAGGGTTTTCTACTCTTTCAAATAGGCCAACGAGTCGAAGCGCATTTGTTCATTTCTTTCACATCAGTCTTCCCCTGTCATCTTCTATCATTTTCCGAT